CCACCACCGCCGCCATGGCGTCGCCGCCGCCGCTGGCCTCCATCCCCATCCCCGACGAGCTCCTGGAGGAGATCCTCCTCCGCCTGCCCACCCCGGACGCGCTCGCCCGCGCCTCCGCCGCCTGCACCTCCTTCCGCCGCGTCATCAAAGGTCGCGCCTTCCGCCGCCGCCTCCGCACGCTGCACCGTCCTCCCCTCCTCGGCTTCATGGACGCGGCCGGATTCCACCCCGCCCAGGCGCCGCACCCCTCCGCCCCGCTCGCCCGCGCCCTCGCCTCCTGCACCGCGGATTTCTCCTTCGTCCCGGCCGTCGTTTCTTCTTCCTCCTACTTGGTCCCGCCGGGCGTCCAAGACGACGACGGGGAAGGCCCCCGCTGGCGCCCCTGCGACGTCCGCGACGGCCGCGTCCTCCTCGTTTGGACCTCCCTCATGTTGACCAAACGGGAGCGGTTCAATGCTGCCAAGCTCCACCTCGCCGTCTGTGACCCCCTGTGCAGCAGATACGTGCTGCTTCCAACAATACCTCAGGACCTCGCGGCCCAGCCGCAGGATCTCCTTCGGGAATTCCAGCCCGTGCTTGCTCCCTGCACCGGCGACGACGGCCAAGAGGAGCCCTTCAAGGTGATATGCATAGCAAGATACCAAACGAAGCTGGTCCTCTTTGTGTTCCCCTCTACAACTATGCGATGGTGTATGGCGGAGTCTCCTATTTTCCCTTCTTTGAAACACATGTCTTGTTTTGACTGCGTGCGTGGCTGCTTCTACTGGACAGAGCCTTATGGCTGGAGTGACCATTTGATGGTGCTGGACACGCGCACTTTGAGGTTTTCAATTGTCGATAACCTCACTGGCTACCATGCGGAGCTCAGTGATCTTCCTGACCGGAGCTTTGGTTATCGTCGCGCAAATGCCGTTGTTATGGGCCGAGAAGGAGCCCTTGAGATGTTTTCTCTTGTGTGTCAACACGGGTCATTTGCCATCTACCATACCTCTCTGCAGAATAATTCCCAAGAATGGAAGCTAGAGAAGATTATACAGCTGCCTGGGCAGTATCATGACTATAACATTTCCACGGTGGGTGCAGCCGAGGGATTCTTGTTCTTCCGAGGCGCTCCAGAAGGTATTCATATTGGGAATGTGGATTCTTACTCAATGGAGGTCAAGACTTATGAAATTACCAAAGTCTGTACGGAGATGGACAATATCTACAATCCCAGACGTGCCCTCCCATTCTTTAGCTTCCCACCGCTGTTATCGGAACCAACTATCTGATCAACTGGTAAGCCTAATTATTTCATTTTATATTGCCACTGGGTGCATGCGTTGCTTGTTCTGCTCACATGATTATGTAGAAAGTTAATTATTGTTCTATTGGGCTTGGCTAGCTTGTCAAACTAGCTACAAGAGGTAGCTGATTGATGGTTTTAAGCTGATGTCTGAGCACTCTTTATTTACCTTGTTGTGTTTTCAAGAGCATAGAGTTCACATGGCATGGTCTGCTATTTTTTATTTATCTTGCTTCACTGCAATAAGATGGCTCTGGGATTCTTGGGAAGCACGAATAAACAACTTTTGCGTCCTTGTTCTTAAGCTATATTTTACTCTGCAATTTTGCAGATAGGAAAGATTCCCATTGCATCAACTGCAGTTGATTCAAAATTCTACTCCCATGGTTATATAGAAAGTTAATTATTGTTCTATTGGGCTTCACTACCTTGTCAAACTAGCCAGGACAGGTAGTAAATTCATGGTTTGATTCTGCATGCATGTTTAACTCCCATGTATGTGATTGGGAATGCTAACTGGAAAGAAAGATTAAACACTTGTTTTCACAGCTAGTTTTTATGGCTCCATATCTTAGGAGAGAAAATGGCATTCACGCTTGCATCTCTATGTAGGAGTACATTGTTAGTCATACTTAGCACTTACTACACATTATTCACTCAGTTGAAAAGATGTTCAAAACAAGAATGTTGCATAACCTGTAAGTTGATGTTTGAAGGCTCTGAATCTAATATTTGTGAACACTCCTTATTTACCATGTTCTGTTTCCAAGGAAAGATAGGATTCACCTGTTATGGTCTGCCAATTTTTGTGTATATTGCTTCCAAACTGCAAAATGAGCAGCTTGGGCGCCTTTGTTCCTAAGTTATGGTGTACTCCGAGGTTTAGCACATGCCTCCTTCCAAAGAAGTTGGGATAGGGAAATTTCCCATTGCATCAACTGCAGTTGCTTCAGTTTTCTAACTAAGTACATTTATGCAGATCTGAGCTCGCTTGCTAGTCGTTTTGGTCTTGCTTGGGCGATCTACATCTGTGGTTGGATGGCGGATGCTCAAGATTGTGCTGATGTGGTTTGATATGTCTGTATTAGTATGAATGTAAGCAGGATATGCTATCAGCAAGTTGAGTTTGACCAACACTGAGGTCTAAGACTCCGGTTTATATTATGTACTGATGTTTGTGTTGGAAGACTTTGATTTATGTTCCCCCTTTTAATCCATGTCCTTATTCTAGATGAACTAGCTTTTATCTGCATGAGTGAATGAGTTCATCTGTAACCCCTTCCAGTTTTCTGGATGATTGAGTTTATTATGCACTGAGCATGGATGTTTTGTGCAAATGAGGACTGGCTGTAATAGAGATGGATATCATACAGACATCAACTTCCAGAGCTTCAGGTTTCTCACAAAGATGTGGTCCTCTATCAAACTTGGATGTTTTCTGAGCACATATGAATGCCCTGTATTTGCCAGTTCGGAACAATTTTTTGCTTATCTGCTCCTAATCTGGTACCGAAGCAAGAACTTTTCCCAAGTGTAGTTTCTAAATCTAAACTGTCTTATAATCCCTTCCTGTTTCGATTGCTTTTCGTCAAAATACCGACTAATTATGTTTGTGGCTAGGCAATGGCATTGTTGATGGCCTGGTGGGCATTGTGAAAGGTACCTTCATAAGCTTATGGGCCTTTTTTCTCTGTCCATCTTGCTCTCCCTCTAATCCATATTAACTGTCGCCGATTTAGTACAGAGCTGTACTAAATCAGCGACAATTTCTATGGATCGGAGGGAGTAATAACTAGTACTTGTTTCGATCTATTGTAAGTCTGTCAATGACATATTCATGGCATGGGTATTGCTGTGAAGTGGACAAGCATGATATTTTAGTATATATTTCTGAACGCAATGCTACTTCACACAGATTGATTTTCATGACATTTGATTCGCTACCTGCATGCAAGAAATTCCGCTGTACATGTAACAAAAATGGTAAAAAAAAACTACTATATATAAAAATGGTGAAAAAAGAAACAATTACGGGGCATTCCGAGAATTGAACTCGGGACCTCTCGCACCCTAAGCTGGAATCATACCACTAGACCAAATGCCCACCGTTTGATGTTTTATTTTTCCTAACAATCTCTCGTGATCCTGCCCAATGTTTTTCCCCTTTTTGGATGGATCGGCTCGCTCGTCACGCAGGCTTACAGGATGGGATGGGATGGGATGGGATGTGTATTTGTCCGGACGACGATGATGGATATAACAACCCAAGTAGTACACAACAACACTGACAGCCGGGAAACACGAAGGGGCGGATCTATTAGATGACCTCAAACGAGTCAAATAAAGCAGCCATTAAGTGACAAATATTGGTTAATTTTTGTCTCTGGAAAACAATATCACAGGCGGGTCATTTTTAGACTGGTCTGTAATGAGAATTCTGCAGAGCCACAATTTTTCTTTGTTCATTTTTTATTTATTTTTGAGCTTGTTCATTTTTTTATTTTTCCTTTGACCTTTTTTGTTCCTTCCAGCGATGTGGCTTTTGTTCAAGTTTTTTTTTATTAGTTTGGTACAAAATTAGTGTATTTATGGGCCTCACCGATAGGAAAAAGGCTTGTGTTCGGCCCATTCATTTGGATGGCTTGATGGGCTTTGAAGGATGGCATTGCGACGCGTGAAGCTTACAGACACATCATGGGGAAATCATTAGCACGCGTATGATATGTCTCGCTCCTGTGATATCGGAAGCAATATCGGGGAACGGTCATGCACTATCGCGCCCAATTTGGTAGGTTTAAATGGACGCCAAATTTACAGATGGGCACAATTAAAGTCGGGTCAAAGATCTGCTAGATATTCGATCGCGTTCACAAGTACTAAATAAGGCAATCTTCTTTGTACCTGTCACAATAAACCCTTACCAAATCACTGTAACCCCTCCACTATAAATCACCCCTCCTCCCTCATTGAAACCAACAACTTTCTTTTCCTTCGCTTGTTTTATCTCTTGCCAGCAATGCCTCGCAACGTGACCCTCAAGTACATCCCCCATGACTCGACCCGGCGCGATAGATTCAAGAAGCGCCTCAAGGGCCTCATGAAGAAGGCGGATGAACTAGCCATCCTGTGCGATGGCAAGACCTGCGTACTGGTGTACGAAGAGGGTAAGACAGCGCCAGAGGTGTTCCCTTCCCACGCCGAGGCAGTGGGTATCCTGAATCAATTCAAAAGCCTGCCAGAGCTGGGGCCGTGCAAGGAGGCGATGAACCAGGAGATCTTCATCACCAAGCGCATTGAGAAGCTCCGGGACCGGATCGACAAGACGCGTCGTGAGTGCGAGGACAGCGAGACCAGGTACCTCCTTCACAAAATCATGCATGGCGACCCCTCGGTCCTTGTTGGCCTCAACATCGAGCAGCTCGTCAAAGTTGGCTACAAAGTGGACGTGCTTCTCAAGAGCATCACCGAACACATGGCAAAAATCCATTCCCATAGGCCACCTCCAGCTCCATGTGTCACCACCGGCAACATAGACATGGGCTCTCCCGTATTGTATCCGGCACCACCTCAGTAGCAGGAGGGCTGACTTGACATGGTGAGCTTCAGAGGGGGCCTCGACACCCTGGTCTAGAGTGGCTACCCCGGCACCAACTTCTGTGGAAGTGATATGATGATGAAGATGCAGTTCTTTGATATGGGGTTCGGTTCGATTCCTTTCGCTCCCATGTACCAGGAGGCCAGCTACATGCGCCGATCTCATCTCATTTTTATTTGGCTTTAGTAGTTAGTATGAGACATTCACTTAATTTCTTGAAATTGTTATATTCGCCTATGTGCGTCGTTGTAATCATCGTGTTCTTTGAGCCAAATCATATTTAATTTCAATGTAATCATTGAAATTGTTATTCAGTTGATCTCTTCCCTAGGTTGTTTGTTTGATCTCTATTGTTTAGTTGGTCGTAAATCTTTAGTTGCGCCTATTTTTTTGTGTCAGCACCGTGTTTTCTTAGGCATAGTTGCACCAGCTACGTGCTAGACAATTGATTGATTCCTGAACCTTGGTCGTGTGTTGGGAGATCTAATGTTGGGGCCTTTAGTTTCATGCTATTTTTGGTGTATGCTTTTTTGGGATAGAAACGAGTTGAAGATTCGTTCTCCTAGAGCAAGCTAAATGTGATGGAGGAATACTATTTCCATGGATAAATATTTGTGAACTAATTACCTTTTGTGACTTAATTACATGGCGACAACTCGCCACACGCAAACATCAGAAATAGCGACGATCCACATTGTGCTCTTGTTAGTTGTAGTCATGTTCTCTATTCTTCAGACCATCCTCTATTGTGCTCTCCTTAGTTGGAGTCATGTTCTCTGTTTCTTCCGACTGTCCTTCGTTCTAGAGACGCACATGAGAACATCATTTGCTCGTCAAGACGATATCATGGCCGATCCAAGGTGACAAGGAGACATGGTGGCCTCTCGCTAGCCTTCATGCTGGGTAGCCATCCTGTGGCTTCCCTGAGGCTCTCATAGCGCCTATGGCCAGGAGTTCCTCTACACCTCTCCTTCCCATCAGTCCTCATCGTCCCACTTACCTGACCTCCTTGAGCATGTTAACCTGAGATTAATTATGAGCTATTTCCATGATGTGTTGTGGTGTGAACAAGGTTATTTTCTTTCTCAAGATTTCCGTAACAGACCGGTTACCGGATCTGCACTGCTTCCCGAGAAAAAGTGTTACCTACTAATTTGACTGAAACTGAATGTCAAAAAAGGATCAAATAACATCCGTATGCTACTTCTAACTTGTAGCATCCCATTGTGTGGTGTTATCGATCCTTCGACTGAGTGTCATGGACTCATGGTGTTGTTACCGAATCCCACCTCGTATTTTTTTATCTTTGTTGTTTAGTTGTTCGTAAATCTTTGAGTTGCATCTATTTTTTTGTGTCAGCACCGTGTTTTCTTAGGCATAGTTGCAGGGGC